AACATGCCTTCCCAGTACTGCAACTCCAGCTCAAAAGTGAAGCTTCCCCTACCCCTGATTTAAAAAGAAAAAGGTCAGGAGGTCCATCAATCAGATTGTTGGCTCTTGTTCTTACACAAGGCTGTTATTACAACTGTGTGATGTATATTAGGAACAACAGTTAACTTGTCCGGGCTATATACATAAAATGTAATTGTTCTTGCTCTGTATGGACTACAGAGCACATGCCCATAGTTATAAACATCCAAACTTGTATGCCTGGGAACACAAATGCTAGTATGAAGCATATTTGTCATGTGACATATATATGTACCCTTAATGGACTTGTGATGGATACACCACCCCACCAAGAAGAGCTGAAATGACCTTCCCACTAACAAGACCTAATCCATTCACTTCACTGGTGGGGCAGATTTTCTCCATGGGAGAGAATGGCTTGCTTAAGGAGAGTCCCTCCCCCACTTCCTTCACTATAGCCAATATACCAGCTCCAGTCTGGCATGCATGCAGGACTACTGCAGATAATTATGTAGAATGAGCTGCAAAAATGGAGCTAGTATATTTTCCCATACATGCAGTCACATGAACCACCTTTGTGTCTGCACAAAGATGGTGTTTGAACCCAAGGCTTAATTAAACTAAGAAAAGCATCAGAAACCAGCAGTCAGCACAGAGGTGGTATCACTTTATATCCTGTGGAAGAGGGATGGTCCATTTATTTCCATTTTTCCTTTTAAAAGACCATATGTGGCAAGCATTTATTTATTGTTGTCTATGTGCCATCAAGTTGCTTCTGACTTACAGCAACCCTAGCAAGGTTTTTGAGGTGTATGTATGTTCAAGGACCGATTTGCCGTTGCTGCCAATTAGGGAATTTCCATGGCTGAATTTCCACATTACCTGAGTTCTAGTTTGACACTCTGTCCACCACACTACATTGGCTCTCAGAAGCACTTCATACCCTAATATGAAAAAAACAACAACACCAGGGTTGGTTGGTTGGTTTGTTTAAATTGTAACACATAGACACGGTTGGTTGGTTGGTTGGTTGGTTTAAATTGTAACACATAGACATACACAAGAGGTTCAATCCTCACTGAACATTTCTTTTAATGGCATGGGAACAACGTTTGATAGGGTGATCCAAGTCTCTCTTCAAGTATTATTTTCCTGTCTCATTAGATATTCACAGAGGCTCATTACTAGCTAGAATGTGTGATCCAAAGACATGCTGTTGTGTTTGATTTATTTTTATTGCATGTGTTGATTTATTTGAATTGCATTTAGCCAGTATTGTCAGTAGGCAACCTGATAAAGAGTCTGCATTTATCACCTTATCTTGCCAGCTATATAACAGCCACAAACAATTGCAAGAAATAGAGAATGAGTGACTTCCAACTGATTCTCTTTATTTTGTTGTGAAAAGTACAGAGAGATAGCATAGTTCCCACATAATTTCTTGGTATGATTATGGCAACCTCTGGACTTGTGCCTATGGGCTCCTTTACAACGTATGTTATAGTCTGGTGTAGAAACTTCAATGTAGAATACATTCATACTGTATCAATTATAAAGCCTACAACAGTACTTGAAACCATCAGGGAAAAGCCAGAATTTCCATTTAAAGTACACAATAGATGCTTCTCTCAGCCAGGATTTTGGCAAGATTTGTCATAACACATACAGAACATTGGAGGGGCTGGGAAGTCTTAGGGATATGACAAAAAGTATACACAGAACAGTCTCTTAGATGATTACATGTTATTAATGTAATTTTTATATTCTTTTGCTCTGGAGTGTACTTCCCTTATATGTCAATTCTATGGCGGTTACAAAAACAGGATGGGATCCAAAGAAATACTTTATGCATGGCCCAGAGCTTGTGCATGCAAGGTGGAATTTCAAAGTTTTAAAAGTTTTAAAACTTGTTTTCTTAACACAACAGACCACTGTTGTCATACCAGAATTGCTTTTAGGAACACTTTATCAGTTTCAAAAGCAGCTGGATATGATGTGTCTGGGGATCCTGTTTGAGAAACAGAAACCTCATAGTCTTGGATGCACAGAGCTAGTTGCATGGTTGTTTGGATCTTGGTGTGCCTTTTTTTGTGAAACGAGTAGTTACTTCATTAAAAAATGAGTCTGAAATCAAAGAGGCCATCTTTTGCCCAAATCTCACATTTTGAACAGAAATAGGCTGTGGAGGTAGTTCACAGCATGGAAGCAAGTCTCACTGGACTTAGGCTATTTGAACTTGGAATGAACTTCTAAAGAATTAGACATAGGATCACTTTATATGTTATGACTATGGGTCAAACTAGATGATAATGGTTAGCTCATGTTTAGAAGTTGTGCTGCCTCAATCAGTGAAAAAAGACTGCCACAGCCCATGTTTTTCCTCACCTCTCTACCTTGCATTCCAGCATTCCTTGTTATGAGATTGGTCATTGGAAGATAAGCTGAAGGCTTAATTCGAAACTAAATTGTGTTCTGGGAGGAAAAATGGGCTAATCACAGGGATTACAAATTTGTTTTGACATTTAGTTTGACTCCATGGTTGAAACCACACTTGCAGAAGTTGTAGCATTGAATTTCTTACATATAACTGATACATACGAAAGTTAAAAGTCATGTTTGCACTATGTATTATTTAAAAAATGTTAAGTGGCACATCTAAGTTTTCATAAAGCGGATAATCATCCTTCAAAATGTTAAAGACTTTTCCCCACAGTTAGTTTTTTCAGTTTATCTGGAATCCGGTCATTTGGATATCATCAAGGTGGGCTGCTGCTGTCCTTCAGCAGTTACAGCCTAAGGCCTCTGCTGCTTCAGGTCAATTTGCCTTCAAGGTTGGTAGTGCTATTTTTTTCCCCATGTACTGATTTCTTTTTTAAAAAGAGCATGCTCAGGTCAGTTGTCTCTGCCTTTGCATTAAATTTGTCCTGAGCCATTGCTGTGAAAACAATATTTTATAATGGTATTCTTCATTAATGTTGATGTGCTTTGTTATTAACATCTATTGCATGATGTGGATTACCTACATATTTGCCTTCTGATTGTAGATTAGTGACTGCCTTAAAAAGAATGTAGAGTTCAGTTGTGCATGCACCTTAATTTTCTAATCTCACTGCCTGTGTATGGATAATAGGAAAAAAAATAACATTTTTCTAGCACTACTATATCTGTTATAGCAACAGCACAAAGCCATATTATCCTATTTTCACTGGAAATGAACATACATTAAAATTTTTGTAATATTATTTAAGTCCGTACATCTCCCACTTATAGTGGCATCAAACTTTTATATATCTATTAAGATTGAACTGCTTGCAGTGCATACTGCTGAAATGCCTCTGATGTTGAAAGTACTATATTGATTTAGGTGCTGAGTGGATTTTCTCTCTGGGTCTAGTTAATATTCTGTAACCAATTTCTCAGAGGTACACTCTTTAGTTAAGTTCTATTTTTTTAAAATGAAATATTAAATTAAGCAAAGATGAACATCTTCCAAGAAAACCACAAGATATGGCTCATCCGCAATGCTTGCCAAACAATCTGAAGCATTAAGGAAAGTATGGCTGAATCTTATCTGCCTTTGTTAAACCCGTTAAAATGGTTATTTGTAGTACACCTACCATGCACTGACAGTGAACCAGCAAGATACCCCATGACTCAGCATGAACAATTTAACCTGAGAATATCATTATAAAATATTTTTATGAAACGTCTTTGCACAATGATTCTTGTACATGGAAGCTTTTGTCCATTGTGGGAAGCTAAACCAAAGTAATAATAATCATCAAATTGACTTTTCATATATATACATATATATATCTACCTACATGCATGATGCTGCAAGATAGCGTATGTAAACTATTCCTTTCTGTTCAGTTTGTCATCTCACTAGCTCCCACAAATTTACTTGCAGTCATTTGTCCGGATTACTGATGCCCTCTTTCTCGTGTTTTCTCCCCTGCCCTATGCATTCTGTAAATAAATGTCTATAAGTATACCTTGATGTTGTCTTTCCATAATTAACCATTGTTGTGTAAACACCATACTGGCATTTTGTGTTAAAATGCCACTCCTTAGTATGGGTACACCTGCTGCAAAGGGAACAGACTGATGTTAATTTATGGTTTACACCTCAGGATTAGTATAGTACAGTGGTGTAAACAGCTAGAATTTTGGGGGGCTTTTTTAAACAAATGTTCTGTGTACTAGTTCAAATGTGATGGGAAATAATTTATGATTGGTTAACCCCTTGGTTCTCAGTTTTATGTGAAAACATGTGTAAAATAATCCACTGTGGTGGCTTTTTTTGGAATTAAGGGGTTAAAGTCCAAAACCAAAATAAATGCATATAAATCTGTATGATATAAATCAAACGATGAATCATTAAACCTTTTCTGCATTATCAAATACATCTTTCTCTTTTTCTCTGCCATGCTTCTTTGTAAAAAAAAAGAGAGGAATGACAAGTGTGCAGAGAGACAATTTTTAAAGAAAAATATTAATTCTTTGATGTCTTATTAAAGAAGTATTGTGTTATTGTCAAATGATCTCATGGTGTTGTAAGCAGGTCGTGATTTGGCATGCTTTTACAAATTGCACCCAGCATGTTGAAAAACATTCTTTTAATTGTTATGTGAACTGTGTGCATATGTGGTTATTATCTGTGGACTCATTGTACATGTATCCAAATGTGTTTCCTATTGTGCTTGATTTTGCTGGCCATTCTTGAATGACTTGGCAATTCAAGAAACAAATGTTCTGTGCTGTCCTCTGTAATGCGTATTCTCTTTGATGTGTTTTGTCATATTCCATCAGCTTGTATTCTTCCTTTGCCAACAACATATTTTTATATTTGTTGGAAACAAATTTATGCAAAGACATTATTTTAGATAGCTTTGCTTGAAACATATTTTTAATTTTTTTTACAGGAAATTAATTTGTTCAACTTCTTAAACCTACTCTTGCTTGATGTAAATCTTTTGCAGTTAATCCACCATCAGACTTGAATTTTAAAATTGTAGATGAACATACTGTTCAAATGTCATGGACCAAGCCATCTGATGCAATCGAAGGTTACAGGATAACAGTTACACCTACACTTGGTAAGCTTTGGGGTCTTTTTAAAAAGTCTGAAATAATGCAGTCCTGTTCAGTTGCATTATTTTTTCCCCTTAACTAATTAGGGGTCGAAGGTTGTCATAGTATGGTATATAAGAATATAGGATAGATATATCTTGAATTTACCCAAAATTGTATCAGCACCTAATCATGCAACCCTAGATATGTCTGATCAGAATCCGTGCTGTCTTTACTGAGGCTTACTCCTAGGCAAGTCTGGATAGAATTGCAATATTACTGATATAGAAGAGCCGAGAATCCCTTCATAGTGCATAATAGAAGTGCAGGTCATTAAGACTTAGAGCAATCTTTTCCATTTCTTTAACTTTTTCAGTTTCTTTCCAGTTAGTAATTTCCCCAAATCCTATATATGCTACTGCTTTTTCTGCAATGCCCCCTAAATTCCCAGCACTCCTCTTCATGTCTGCCTTGGTTGCTGGTAACAGCATGGTGTTCTCCATGTCAAAGTGCCACTCTGCCCATCCATGACACCTAGAGTACTGTGAAAGAAAAAAGTAAATTACTCACACTGTTGTGACCCCCAACATCAGCTGCCTGATGCAGGTGCCTCATTATACTAATGGTGGGGTTGTCCCCAACTGCTAATGTGAGATAATGATTAGCTATATAAAAGGCTGCTGGTAACTGAACCTGCAAAACTTCTAATAATGAGTGGTTTTAGGCCATATAAATGAATGAATGAATGAATGGTGAATCTTTCAAAAGAACACAGGCCAGAATCCTATTATATCCTTCCAAAGTTCAATGTGCAAACTGATATGGTGAATTACTTAAGAAAATGGTGTTTCTGTCTCTCATCATATGGTATGACCTGCAACTGATGTGTGATAAGAAATAAAAAGACCCAGCTTTTTAATTGGTGGCCATTTGCTGCAGCAGTGTGCACCCTGTGACTTTGGCAAGTGCAAGTATAGAATTCAGCCTTTGCCTGTGGGCAATATATTTGCTGTCTAATTTTTTTAGAAGTGTTTTATAAACTGTAGCACTGCAAGGGTTGCGGTCCTCTTCTTTGGCAGTAGAGTAGTGTAGAAGACAGAGGAGCTACTATAGCTATCTATGCTCACCCTACTGAATGGTGCTTAGAGCAAATGTGTGGTGAGCATGTTTGTAGCAGCTGCATAGAGAAGTGAAGGACTATGAAGTTTCTGTATTTCTTTTAGAGTACATAGGTGACAGGTTTTTTTTTTACAGTATTGAATTATAAGATCATCATTCTGAGATTTAGAAATTCTGCTGTGTTCACTTGTCCTATTGATGCTGAATTGCAGATGGACCTGCTAGGGAATTCACCCTAGCACATAGTGCAACCCAGACGTTGTTAACTGACCTCACACCTGATGTTGAGTATGTTGTAACAATAAGCTCATATGATGAAAGAGAAGAGAGTATATCTGTCTCTGGACAACTTACAAGTAAGTTCATGTAATTAATCTGAATTTAATTTGGGATGGAGATTATCATAAAGGCATTACAAAATATATCACAGAAGCCTGGTTCTTAATCTTTTAAGGCAAGGGTGGTCTTCATATGGCTCAAAGGCATTTTTGTAGTTTCCCAGAACCTTACATTCCTACTTTTTAAGTTTGCTCTGTTAGTTTTTGGCTCTGAAAGTTCTCTTATACCCTCTAGGTACATTGTTTGGTAATTTTTCCATGCTTTGTGGCCATGTTCCCCAGCATCCCAAAGGCTTCCATACCGCTGATTGTTTTTAAACAAATAATTTAAAAAAATTTTTTTACTATTAGAGGGTGCAAGAATAGTTTATCCATTGAAAACCACACTTTGTAAAGAAAAAAAAATTGGGTTGAGTGGGATGAGCATGGGTATGCCCATCCTTGGACCTGTGGCGCTTGCCTATCCTTGCTAGAGTTTGGGCACCCCTCCCTTAAGTATCAGCAGATTAAGCATATGCTGGAGTTGAGTTTTTAAAAGCTCCACTTTTTGATGTAATCAATAGCATTCATAAGAAAGTCCAAGCATCTGCTACAATTTTCTTCCCACGTGGTATTCTTATACGCCATTGAACATTATGGCAAGTGCATCCTAGGGGATGTACTCCAGAAAAGTAACTTTTCCAAACCCTGTTGCTCAGTGCTTGTGAATTTGGTGGAGATTTTGGTTTACTAGGTATGATGCAGGAGGAGCCCAAATTAAATGTCACATCTGTTTCATGCTTGTTGATATAAAGTATAGATTAGTATATAGAGTGACAGACTGGGACTCAGATGGACCTGGGTCTGAATCTTAGTATATAGAGTGACAGACTAGGACTCAGATGGACCTGGGTCTGAATCCCCAGTGGTCCATGGAAGTTCAGTAGGGTAGGGGTGGAACTGGGGAAACCATTCCTTAAAATATCTCACTTACCTTGAAATCCCTATTGGGGTCGCTATAAGCTGCTTCCGGCTTGATGGCCAGAACACTCATTTCAGGCTTACCTCCCAGAATGAACTGCCTAGAAATACATCATCCTCCAGTGAGGAGAAATTAGTTAGATGAAGCCCCTCCTTAAATTCTAATTCCAGACACATCCTGTTTTCTTTTGTTTGTTTATGTGTTTATTTACCTATCCTTGTTTCCTGTTCTTCTAGTTCAAACAGGTGGTTTAGTAACAACAGAAAAGAAGATTGAAGAGGTTCCGTTGCAAAGTAAGTAGTTACAGTGTTAATGGGATGTAGTATTATAAAACAGACTTAATTAGTTATTTTGCTATATTTATTTATTTAATTTAATTTATACCCCGCCCATCTGGTCGACATGACCACTCTAGGCGGCTATATAACTTTTTTTTATCATAGGCTGATCTATTAAACTAATAAAAAATAAAAAAATAATAGAAAGATTAAAAGGCCTTAGAAGTTAAATCAGCCACTTTAAAAAAAATGTAAAGGCTAAAATGCTTGGGAGAAGAGAAATGTCTTTATACTTGATATCAAGGTAAGTGCCAAACAGGCCTACTTGGGGAGACCTCTCTTGTAGCTACCTGCCTAATTTTGCAAGGCTTGCTCAGAGGAGAGTCTCTGAAGATGACCTGGGTATCCATGCAGGTCTATTTGGGAGGAGAGGTTCTGTCAGTAACTGCGACTCCAAGCCAGAAAATGGCTTTCTGGATCATCATAACAAACTTCCTGCAAATGCACAAATGCTAATACTTTCCTGTTCCTTAGCTGAGTACGCCAGAGCATCCTGTTGCATTGCATATCCTTCCAGACATTGTAATATAGAACCTTGAATGTACTGCCTCTTGTGTTGAGGTGGACCTTCTTTTGTTTTATACACTTTTATATTCTATTAACTGGGATAGAGGCAAGGAACTGGTGACTCTCCAGCTGACGTTGAACTGTAATCCCCCCCCCATCAATTCTGATTTCCCGGAGCGAATAAGATTAGAAGTACAATAACCAGAGGACCATAGGTTCCCCACCCCTGCTTTAGGGACTTTAAAACATATTCCACTTCTTTTCTTCTGAATTGCCTATGTCCAAGATACAAAGAAAATTGAGAACAGCCTAATGGAGCTTATTGGCCTTTTATATTATCCAGGAGGCTGCCCATTTATTTTAGGTTTATATTGCTTGTAGAGTTTGTGATGCAGGCATATATGAGTTAGTTCTGAAAATTCTGCAAGCAGTATTACAGAGAATCTCCTGCTCACAGGAGAAAAGGTAATGTTTTATTTATTGCCATTTTTGTTCACTGTGCCCTTGAATGTACCATTGAAACAATGGGGAAGTTGAAATACTCTCCACAATAGGATAGGCAATAGTTCAGGAAAGGATGTAAGAGACAGGGAAATCAATGAACAGGAACTCTTGCTGGACTGTCAGCTCTTTTGTAGAGGGGCTACCCTGAGCTGTTTTGGAGCCAGGCCCACATGTGGCTGCTGGCTAGAGAGTTCATTGAATTAGCCATTTGGCTTTGGAGCCAGAGAATGAGAGTTCAATCCTTCAGTGTGTTGCAAGAGAAGAAACATCCTGTGTAGCCTTGGGCAAACTGCACTGTCTCAGAGTGTCCTTGCAGGGTGGAACAGTAAATCACTTCTTAGTACTTGATTCCTAAAAAATCTTGAAAAGGGACACCACAAGTTGGAATTGACTTGATAGTGTGTCATTACTATATTACAATTTGTTTGTGTATATATTTAAATAAAAAAGATCTGCTCAACTAAGTATCTCTGATTTCATAAAAATTGTATTCCAGGATGTTCCATTAGTGCTGTTGCAGATCTAGTTTTTCTTGTGGATGGTTCTTGGAGTGTGGGAAGAAATAACTTCAAATATATACTGGACTTCATTGTTACCTTGGTGTCAGCTTTTGACATTGGAGAAGATAAGACGAGAGTTGGAATAGTACAATACAGTACCGACACAAGGACTGAGTTCAACTTAAATCAGTATTTTAACCAGAGAGATCTTACTGAGGCAATAAAAAGAATACCATACAAAGGAGGCAATACTATGACAGGTATGTACTTACTGATATTGTGTGATGTAAAAAAAAACACCTATGAATGATAATCAGGTGCTTATTATTCTACTGTATGTTGGTTGTGCGGTGTCACTTGATTTTACATTTTGAAAAATTTGTTTTAAACCAGAAACATTTATGGATAAGAAAATCACAATTGATTATGTACATTACAGGGGAAGCTATAGATTATCTAATTAAGAACACATTTATTGAATCTGCTGGAGCACGAAGAGGCTTCCCCAAAGTGGCAGTTATCATTACGGATGGAAAATCACAAGATGAAGTAGAAATTCCTGCAAGAGAACTTCGTAGTACAGGAGTTGAAGTGTTTTCTTTAGGTATGTTGGACTTTATACAAATGGTCATGAGGTGGAAGAATCAAAATCTGCATGTTTTGCTTGTTCCACTTAGTCATATGGGACTCCTCCTCCCCCTTGGTGTAAGTTGCTTGCGATTAAGTCTACTTTTTCACTTAATCTGCAACATTTGGACAATGTGTCAGCTATGCTCCATTTTCTTACAAGGTTCTATTATTTATTTAATTTTCCGCCTATCTGGTCTTTTGACCACTCGAAGCGGCATATAGTGGTTAAAATAAAAACCTAAAAATAGCTTTGTTGGAACTAGAGTTGTCTCTTCATGGTAAAAGTCCTGTTCTTCGGGTATGTAAACTGCTTAACTTTCAGAAGCAAATTGTGGTTGAGGAATTTCTGTAGACATTATCTGCTGCATACTGAGCAACATGACTCAGTGCATACATCCGATGAGGGGTCCAGAGACTTCTTATGACAAATCATCTCCAAAAGTTACACCCTTTGTTTAACTTAACTAAGAATTTCAGCCAATAATCTCAGAGACATAACTTGGAAAAGGTACTTTTCGGACTAGAATTCCTAGAATTAACTAACTAGTATGGCCAGTGATCCTACTGGTTGAAGGTTGTGGGAGCTATAGTGTCAAAAATTAACTTCACAATGCTTTGCTCAAAAAGACTTTTAAAGACACAAGTACAATGTTTTAAATAGCACCCAGTATTAATTGATAAACAATATTAAAAGCAGCATGTAAGTTTGTAAAAATGCCAGTGAAAACTAACCCAGGCTTGCCTGAGTGCTGATACACCTCTATTATAGGATCCATTGAGGTTCATCAAGAGGCTTTTGGTTTTCAGTCCAGATAGGTTTTTAGATACCCATAAATACAGTAGTGGCTATCTACAGGCTTAGCAGATGAAGGAAAATATATCAAACTCTCACATATTTCAACTTCTATATTTTTTCTTCTTCCTCTTTCCTTAGGAATCAAAGCTGCAGATGCCAAAGAGCTCAAGTTAATTGCATCTCAGCCCTCCTTGAAGCATGTGTTTAATGTAGCCAACTTTGATGGCATTGTGGATATACAGAATGAAATAGTTTCACAGGTGTGCTCCGGTGTTGATGAACAACTGGGTGAGCTGGTCAGTGGAGAAGAAGGTAACAAATCATTTCTCAGTAAACATTTCATTGTGGCATAGATATCCAACCATGGTAATGGCACCAGTACAGGGATTTATGGAGCAGAATAGAACAACAGCAACAAAAAAACACACCATTGCATTCAATTGGACTTCTTTCCACAAAGCCGTAATCCCATGCTTAAGCACGGTTTACTTGTGAATAAGTCCCACTACAGTCAGTGTGGCATAATCCTCAGTATATGTGTGTAGGGTTACCCTGTTAATATCTAGTTCTAGTTTATTATTATACGGTCATAGACCCGAAAATACAAAAATAAGCACATTATATAAAATATACAAAATAAGTAAATTGCTAAAATATATCAGCAGTATAAAACATGAGCCATGTACTTGTCTTATTATAACATTTTACGAATTCTTAAAACTGTGAATAATAATAATAATCGTTAATATCTTGTTTTCACTGTGTTGTCAATGTATCGTATAACATGAGGAAAGCATGTGGATCGCTTTGCCCTTGAAAAATTATGTATTTCTGAGTGGATTTTTGTTTCTAATTTTTTCAGCCATTGAACCTCCCTCAAACCTTGCAGCAACACAAATCTCGTCCAGATCAATTCGAATCACTTGGTATCCATCTCCTAGCGAAATAACTGGCTATAAGATTGTTCTGATCCCAATGGTAGCTGGGGCCAAACAGCATTCACTGAGTGTAGGACCTCAAACTACTGCTTTTAATGTAAAAGATCTTTCTGCAGACACAGAATACCAAATTAGTGTGTATGCAGTGAAAGGACTGACGTCCAGCGAGCCAGTGACTATAATGGAAAAAACACAGCCTGTTAAAGTTCAAGTGGGTAAGTCATGGTTTGGTGGAATGGACATTTTAATAGTTGAGTTCTGTAAAAGCAAAATGCCCTGAAATGAGACAGTTAAACTAAAAGATGTATGGGACAAAAATAATTTCTTTTTCTTTTTAACTGTATCTACCAGACAAATCAATAGGAAATTACTAGTATCTGGCATTAAGAGACACACATGTAACTCAGTTCAACTACTGATGAACTGGTAATAGTCTAATCATATACAGAAGTGTAACTACGAATTTGTCTTATATAGAAAAGTATATAGATACGCTTTTCTATATAAGAAAAATGTATAAATAAAGGTACTGGGCTAAATCCACTTTGTAGTCCAAACTAGAGTAGATCCATTGAATCCATAGAGCTTAGGTCTTGTTGACTGATTAAGTCCTGTTTGTTTGGTGGATTTGATCTAGTGGAGGCTACCATTTAACTGCAGCCCTAACTCTTTGTTCTTGACGTGAGGATATCCTTAACGTGGAGGCTATTATCTATTTTTCAGGGATTATTTTAAATAAGACAACCGTTCTTAAAGTGATGTTCTTTATGATGATGATGATAAATAAAAAAGTGCTGTGTAAATATTAACAGTGACTGTTTTTGTTTTTGTTTTAAACAGAATGCTCAAAAGGTGTGGATATCAAAGCAGACATTGTGTTTCTGGTGGATGGCTCCTACAGTATTGGCATTGCCAATTTTGTTAAAGTAAGAGCATTTTTGGAAGTGTTAGTTAAAAGCTTTGAGATTTCCCCGGAAAAAGTCCAAATAAGTCTCGTCCAGTACAGCAGGGATCCTCATACGGAATTTACTTTGAACAGATACAGCAGAATTGAAGACATACTTCATGCTATTAACACCTTCCCCTACAGAGGTGGATCCACAAACACAGGCAAAGCTATGACCTATGTAAGGGAAAAAGTGTTCGTTCCCAACAGAGGTGCAAGACCAAATGTCCCAAGGGTCATGATTCTTATAACTGATGGCAAATCATCAGATACTTTTAAAGATCCTGCCATAAAGCTACGGAACTCAGATGTAGAGATATTTGCAGTTGGTGTTAAGGATGCTGTACGGACAGAATTGGAAGCAATTGCCACACCACCTGTGGAAACTCATGTGTACACAGTTGAAGACTTTGATGCTTTTCAAAGAATATCATTCGAACTCACACAGTCTATCTGTCTACGGATTGAGCAGGAACTTCAGGAGATTAAGAGAAAATGTAAGTAGTTGTAGCCACGTAGAACTGTATCCTGAAAAGTGCTAGCAAATTAATCTGAGGGAAATGTTACTAGTTGTGTTAGATGTTACTTCTAGAGTTATGATCACACCTACTGTTAAAGAGGGAAACTGTCCACAGATGTTTTGGTTTAAAGAAAAAGAGGAAAAGGATTAGTCTTAGCAACCTACCCAAATGGTAGGGAGGAGTTTAGCTATGTGAGTTTCAGACTGGTGTTGCTGAGGGACCCAGTCTTTGTTTTTATCAGGAGAACCAATGGGCACTGGATTCTGTGGATCCAAAGCCATCACCTCCTACTCTCCGAATGTCCCATTTTGGGACCTGCTGCTGCTGATGGGAACATTGTCAATAGGTAATTTGTACATACGAAGATTCATTAATAAGGCTTATAGGCTGAATGTGTGGTTTATGCTGTATGTCTCCCCCACCCCTCCAGGAAAGCTAGGCTTTGCTTACAATATTTGGAAATCAACATTCACAAATCCCATCTGTTTACAATAATAGGACTGAATCTGGAGACCCCAGTTATTGTAGATTGAAGGAAAAATATTTTAGCTTCATCTCCAAATACAGTATTGTAAACTAGACTGAGTTTATGAGGGAAAACAGAGTATAAATCATACTTTGAATGATTCAGAACTACACTTCAGACAACTGCTTATGTCTGTTGCAGAACAGGATGATGATCTGCCACATGCACCCTAATTCAGTACGTGAATGAAGCCCAGCATGTGAACAATAAAAATGGCTGCCAGCAGTATCTTGTTTACTTTGAACCATAGCCACTATACTACATCATCTATCACAGAATGAGCCCCCATCCTGAAATTTTGCTTTCACACACAGTTCTCTCTCTCTCTCTCTCTCTAGCCCTTACTTTATTATTTTTATTGGCTGAAATCCAGTTGCATAGCATAGTAAGTCACAACTAGAGGTGGCCCCACTCTGAAAATTGATACAGTAAGTCTGCAATAGTTGTGACTTGTTACAACAGGATCTCAGGCACTGGGTGTCAAATAATGTGCATGGAGCATTATGTGAATATTCAGCACAAGTTCTCCCATTAGGTAGAGAGAAGCAACTGCCTCTGGCAGCTATGCTGGGGAATGTGTGAACATTTTAGAGGAAGGAGCTGTGTGTGCTGGGACCCTTAAGCAAGCCTGCTGCAGTAGAAGATTCTAGTCTAGAGCCAGTGTTGAAATAAGGTTCATTGACCAGTACGGTCAACTTCTGTACATAGTATGGGAGGGGGCACAGAAACATTCTTTATATGGTCGCTAGACTCTGTTGGCCTTAATTGTACAGTATCTGAAAAAAGTCAGTGGTTTGTTGTCGCCCTTGTCTGAGGGAAAATAAGCATTGTCTCAGCAAGAAAATGTGGCCTGTGATTTTTCTTAGTCATCTTCCTGGCTGCTTTCCTGGCTGGATGAAATAATGCAGACAACATTCATCTTGCACTGTTCCCACCAATAGCAAAAGTATGTAGCAGAGTGCATGCTGTTATAGTTCACTGTGAAAGTGAAGCATATAAGAGCTCCCTTCCAATTTTACGATACAACCTCAGTTTTCAAAGCTGCGGAATCAAGAATCACAGAAAACCAGAAAGGTAGAAATAGTTGGAATTTCTGACCTTTTGGATCACAGAAGGCCAATATAATGCAGTCAACAATGGGCTGGATTAGGGCTTGGAAGACATGACTTTGAACTCTCACTTGCCCATGAAATTCACTGGGTGGCATAGGACTACTCACATCTAATCCTGTCTGATGTGCCTCAAAAGACTGTTGCCAGGACAAATGGAGAATAGACTCATAAACGACTAAACAATAACAAACAACACTACCTTGTACTCATAAATGTAACTAACCAATTGATGACAATGATGATAGGTTTCATCTAGGCTTTCCGTAGTCCTGCCATCAAGAAAATACTGTGTTTATAGAAGCCGATTGTTTCTAGAGATTAAAAGGGGTTTATCAAGTACTAGATTTACTCACTAGATTTTTATTTTCAACAGCTTATTTGCCTGCAAGGAATCTGCAGTTTTCAGAAGTGGGTTCTTACAGCTTCAGAGTTAACTGGTCTCCTGCAGGACCTGATGTTTTATCTTACCTTGTCAAGTATAACGAGGCTGTTGGTGGAGAGGAGTTCATGGTTTCTGTACCAGCTCCAGTTACTAATACAGTCCTTACTAATTTGCTACCCAAAACCACCTATGCTGTCAGTGTGATTGCAGAGTACGAAGATGGTGATGGCCCGCCGCTGGATGGGGAAGAAACAACTTTAGAAGGTATAATACCGATTGTCCTGCTTCTGTTCTTTCCTCCTGATACTGTACACGGCTCATCAAAATGAAGCATCTGTTGCTCCATGTTTTGTGCTGGTTGGTGCAATTTGCTGTCACTCAAGACTGGATCTTACCTGGATTTCTGTCTATTTACAGAAAGGGACATACACACATGTGCACGTGCATGCACACACACACACATACACAGAGAAGGGGGAGAGAGATTTACAGAGCAGGTTGTGGAGGAGAAGAAAGAGAGGCAGAAGGGAAAAGGAAAGCAAAGAAGGCAGCCTCTTGACTTCTCTGTGTTGCTTCACTTTGGAGTTTGTCCACTTGAAGCCCATGAGATGAACTCACAAAAATAAAATGACTTGCATTTGTTGTTATTTTGCTTCCTTTCTAGTTCGAGGATCACCACGAAATTTAAGAGTAACTGATGAAACAACAGATAGTTTTAAAGTTGGGTGGTCAGCTGCTCCAGGAAATGTTCTCAGATACAGGATTGCATACAGACCTGTTGCTGGCGGGGAGAGAAGACAAGTAACTGTCCCAGCAAATGAAAGGGCAACCACGCTACAGAATCTAAAGCAAGATACAAGATATGAAGTCTCTGTTACGGCTGAATACCAGTCTGGAGTTGCAGATCCTCTGACTGGCCATGGAAAAACTGAAGAAGGTAAGCAGTCAACAGATTGAAAAGGACTTCTCACTCAGGCCTCAGGAACAAGGATGTGATGGCACCACTGTTAAAGATAATGAGAAGCAGTGGTAACTTCAGTTAGCTCTTGGTACTTGTCACCTGTGTGACAACCATGGATTTGCAAACATGTTTGGGTAGCCTGCATACTTTACACGTGAAAAGTTCGCTCTGAATTGAGCCTAGCTTGACAACTTCATATTTAAGAAGAGTGGCATCAAGCTATCCTTCAAACTTCAGTAAGGCTTCATCCAACTCCTCTGGTTTAGGTGCTTATTTACCTTTAGACATCTTATTCCTCTATAGCCAATATCAAATAGGATGCTTCTGCTGATAAAATTGCTTTCATTATGGCAACCAAAAAGAGGAAGAGCCTTTTTTCATTGCAGCTCTCTGTATGTGAACAGAAGTGAATGCGGGGGACTGGGAGACCTGGAGTGAGTAATGGAGAGGGCTGCAGTGGGACAACAAAACAAGTTCCATCACACTAGCTAGTACAATGTTGGTCATCAGCCTGCATTTTTAAATAATATTCTAAAGGGTCATTTGCTCCCTAAAGGGTACCTGTAGTCCTCCCTTTCCTCAGCTAAGATGCCACTCTCTAGACTTCTTGAGTTTGCCTTTTGGCTTCCTTGGCCATATTGAAATGCTATCTTGTGTCAGCTGATCATTTTTCTAAATGCTCTTTGTGCAATTATTAACATTATGTATCACTGATATTTCACAAAAAGCCTTAAAGATAGCAAACCCCTCTTTAAGAAACTTTACAGCTAGATCGCTAATGCTTTTCATTGTACCCTGTGCAGTTTTGGGGAGGCCAAGAGACCTGAGAGTTTCTGATGCCACAACATCCTCGCTGAAATTGTCTTGGAATTCAGCACCTGGCAAAGTACAGCAGTATCTTGTAACATATACTCCAGTGACAGGAGGTGAATCTAAAGAAGTGACCTTAAGGAAAGATATGACCACCACTGTTCTCAGAGACTTGGAGCCAGGAACAAGATATGATTTATCTGTGACAGCTCTTTATGCATCTGGAGCAGGAGATGCTCTGTCTGGACAAGGAGACACTCTTGACGGTAAAAACAGTGGCATTTTAAAAATTAATATTCTTGTGACTGAAAACATATTTGTAAATATAGCTGTCTCTTATTCCTTGGCCAAGAGTAAAAATGGGTCTACTAATGCTACGACAGTTCACAGACACTTGAGTTTTCTTTAAAAGGAGAAAAAAAGAGGAAGCATGTTACTGGAGTAGGAATCTCCCAGGTTTTGTATAAATACTATTTTTTGGATGATGGCACTTGGAGATCTGAAGTATCTGTATTTGTTTTGCCATAGTTAGTTTCTGTGGCTTTGATGGTGTGCTTTTTTATATCACCATTAATGCAAGTGTGTGTCTGAAAGACACCTCTGAAGTTGAACACCCTTATCCTTTGAGAACTATGATATCCCAGTACTTAGGACCATTTTTAAGGAAGAGGCATCTCCTATTTGAAGAGCTGCCCAGTCTGAGTCTTGTTTAAAGAACCACCAGAATGGAAAGCAAGGGCCATCAACCTGCCCATCATAAGTTAGCTTCCACAGAGCAGACTGAGCAATTTCACAGGTCTTCGGGGCACAGCCTTCCCTATTAAAGAACAATGAATTGTGTTTCCTTTAAAAACAATTATGGTAGTTAGTTTCAAAATTGCAACTATATATCAGCACCCAGCATCATGCAAATAATGTGCAAATCTATGCTCTTTGGTTTCCCATTGTTTTGTTTTGTGACAGATTTCTTACCCTTTGGTGAGGCATAGATGGCTACTCTAACTAGGGAAATGATTGTTGTATTAATTTGAAGAGGCCTGTGGTCTATTCCCGAGGAACAACCAACTTATGGGGCAAAATGGAACACAACTTTGTGAGATCATAGCTAAGCGATAATAATATGTACTTTCGGTACATAAGGATCCTGTATCCCTGGCATATCTTGCATTTTTTTAAATAAAAGGAATTCTCCAGCAGAAGGAGCAGAGAATGCTTCTGCTTGTGATCTTGTGGAGCTGCTTACTAGACAGGGTAGAGAAGAGGAAGGCTATATGGAGCCATCCTAAGACAACATAGATTGTTTCTAGAGGGGCACAGCTTACCCATGTTTCTTTGGAAGGAAGTCACTGGAGGCTTACAGCATTGTGTGAGTTTCTGTATTAATATACAGATTGAGCACAAACAGAGGCATAGTTTAAGTACTCAAACAGGCAGCCAAACCCACTCTTCCATAGCAGATGATCTCTGGAGAGAGCCAGACAGCCCATCTGCTCCTAATACCTCCAGGACTTAACTTGCAGCACTCTCCTTGATGTCTCTCATAGTCTGTGACTCATTGTTTATTTTCACACAGAGACCTAGATTATTACATCATTGTTAGTTGGGGATGGGGAGCTACAGCCCCTTTCAAATATCTCCTAGCAGCTATTGAGAAGTCTTGCAGAAGATCCAAACATTAATAGCAGCAACTGGATATTGTTTTTTCTAAATAAATGAGCCAAGTAACAATCTCCCTATAGCATGCACAATTATGTAAAATACCTCCCTTTACAAAACTTTAAAGATCCAAACAAGTGATTATTAAAGGACAAACATTTCCCTGTAGTAGAGCAGAGGTGTGACCATGCTTCAACTGATTGGACCTTTAAGAGGAAAGCAAACAAAAATCCCTCTCATTGTCCCTTCTCCTGTCTCTTCCTGACATCTTGCTTTTATTCTTTTAAAGTGATTCAGTGTTAATGAACTTCTACATTTAATTTTTTCTCTCATTTCGTTGTTGCCTCTGCGGAGCCAAGGAAGTGTTTGATTTGGTTGAAGTGGTTCTTTTCTTAACTTACTCTACAACACTGGCAAATTCACAGCAGGCGGATCAAATAAGATTGTTTGAAAGTCAGACAGACCTATGAGGGATGAAAGAACTGTAGGCTTATGCAATCCATTTAGGTCAGCTCTCTGTCTCTAGACTACCTAGTTGCAGTTCAGTGGTGTAGTCGACTAATGCCTTTTCCTGTGGTGGTAAGCAAGACTGTTGGCAATTTCAAAAGTCTGGGGGAAGGACATGTCCTCTTAATTTGGTACCCTGGGGGGGAAAACCCTAGTTGCTACAGTATGTGGTAATTACAGCTCTGACTTTGGGAATATAAGAAAAGAATGAGATGCACTGTCTTCAAGAGCCAAGTTTTAAAATTCAGATTCATCTGAAACAACTGAAGTGAGTATTCTGCTTTCTAGAAGTTGCTAATAATTTGGCTAATAATTAAACGTAGAGGTCATCAGTTCTCAGTCTTGTCTTGCATGGTTCACTTTTAAGCAGAATCTTCATGGGCTACCAATATGTTTAAATTGAGAAAGCAAGGCTACGTATTTAAGGTCTCTAAGTAGTGCGTTCTCAGTTAATAATGTAAAACTGTTTTCCTGGAAATCATATGAAAGTCCACTGGGTCCAACATTGTTTACAAGAAGGAACAGCAGACAGACTGTGGTGTACCACAAATAACTCAGAAAGTCAACAGGGGAATATATTCTAGTTTCTATCCATGGATGATATAACTCGGGGCAATATATTGTCCTCCAGACGTTGTTGGGCAGGAACTCCCATCAGCCTAGCTAGCCTAGTCAGTGGTGAGGGATGATGTGTGTTGTTGATCAACCCCGTATGAAGCGCCATAATGTTTCTGCCAAGGTTTAACAAGAACGGAAGTTCTCTAATCCCCCCTCCCCCCTGAAATATTATTATATAATAGGATCCATCTAGTAAATGCCATCCTGGTTTCCTTCTGGCTAATTAATTTCATTTATTACTTTTGATCATGGTTGATCAGCTGCACATTATGGCATAGTCAGTTTTAAATAGGAATATTTTACTTCATTGTTCTCCATCTGATGGCTCACCTCCCCTTGGAGGTTTCCAGTGGATGCATTTGTTATTTGCTTTTCTTTTTCACAATCTGAGCCAAATCCTTGGGTCATACACTAGAAATAGGACATAATGGTAAACACAGCAATTGTAACAAGTGGAAATCCAGTAGATGGCTGACAATCAAGTGTTTCTGTGAGCCACTGTTTTTTTAATCTGTTTTTCCCATATAGCGGAGGTGGTAAGAGCAGTTCTGGTGAGAACGTGCTTCTGTGCCCTATGGTGTAATGTCAAATTACAGGAACATGCTCTGTACTGTCTGCTAAATAGATTGATTTGAAACAGATACAGGATTTGGTGGGGTGAGAGGGTTTTGTTTTGTTTTTTGCAATTCTGATAATTTACTACTAGGTTTGGCAAGTATTGCAGATGTGATTAACAGTAATCTATATAATCATTCCTTGAAACATGACAACTGATCTTTTCCTAGAAGTAAGAATTTTCTAGCACTGCCTTCAGGACATTGTATATGCTAAGTATAATGGTCTCAGGAAGTGATCAAAGCTGAGGACCTCATTTATCACTTTATGTATGTCATCTGGAACAAAAAGAACAAACATTTAATTGTAGTTTTGCAAATAACTACATCTGCTACTGAATGCCAATTATAATTCATGGAGACTGCAAAGTTAATGGTTTATCATCTGTGGAAGTAAATTGAACATGATGTGGACCACTGTTGTAGCAGATGGTCTGGTTGGAATACCTTTGCAAATACTGTATGTGATATAGGAGTCGGATTTTGATAACTGCTCTAGGAGGAAGCATCTGTAGCAGATGGTCTGGTTGGAATACCTTTAGTCGGATTTTGATAACTGCTCTAGGAAGAAGCATTGTCCTACAATTTAAACACATCTCTGATTAGGTGTGCGTAACCTGGTTAATATAATGAAAGTTTGATATTGACACTGAGATAGAGCTTAAATAAAAATCAGGAATTAGGATTAGTTTAGCTACATATAAAGAGAAAATATGTCAGAAAATATAGTGTTGCTGTGTTCTGCTTTATATTAAGAAATTTATAAAATTAGTTAACATGTTCAATGTGAGGGCTCATTTCTTCAGACTTTCTGCAGCCCAGCCAGCATTTACAGAGCAGGGTTAATTTCTAAACTGAACTCTTCCCTCAGGTACAATCATTGCTTGGCTTGTTCTTGTCATGCTGGATGCTTGCCCTCAGTGAGGACTTCTTTGTGGAGAGAAGGTTTCTCTTGAGCCAGCAGGACCCATCACACTAAAGGTTCTGGCTTTGTATCTTCAGTTGTCTGTTTGCTGGTGCCTGTCTCCTTTCCTAAGCACACTTCTTATGAAACTCTCTGTCACCATCTGCTGTCCTGAAAGTTTCTAGTCTTTCCCCCTTCTAGACTCTTGTCAATCTATGAGTCTTTCTCTCCAGCCATGACATCTTCTCTTAAGTTCTACCTCTTTAACCTGCTTTCCCAGCCCCTTCTTCTTTAGCCTTCATCTTCCAGGCACTTCTCTAGATCAGTGGTTCTTAACCTTGGGTTACTCAGATGTTTTTGGACTGCAACTCCCAGAAGCCTTCACCACCACCTCTGCTGGCCAGGATTTCTGGGAGTTGAAGTCCAAGAACATCTGGAGGCCCAAGGTTGGGGACCAACGATCTAGAGCAGTGGTCCCCAACCTTGGGCCTCCAGATGTTCTTGGACCACAAGTCCCAGAAGCCTTCGCCGCCTCCTCTGCTGGCCAGGATTTCTGGGAGTTGAAGTCCAAGAACATCTGGAGGCCCAAGGTTGGGGACTACTGCTCTAGATGATTCCAGTTCTAAACAACTCCTGATAGTGTAATTCTCTGCTGGCCACAACTCCTAGCATATATATGGCCACTTCATAGGATGCTCTTGTATTTTTTGGTACTCAAAGACCAAGAGACACTCTTTTGCTGTGTCTCCACTTAAGTATCAATAATCCTAATTCCTCCTGCTGCTTCTTTTAAGTACAGCTGGCTAGCAAAGAGCCTTCTGCCATTTTTAGAGGTCCTTTTTTTAGTAATCAGGCCCAGGCATAATCTTTGCCTACTGATGTATAGCAGGAATGGGCAAAGTGCAGACCTCCAGAAGGTGAACTGCAGTTCCCAGTGGTCCTGGCCATGATAGTCAGTGGCAAGTTG